TTGCCCAGGTGGGTCTCGAACCTGCAGGCTCAGGCAATCCACTCACTTCAGCCTCCCAAAGGCGCGGAATTACAGGCTGGGCCACCGAGCCTGGCTTGACAATTAATTTAAAATCTGTCCAGTATAAGTCTTGCTAATTCTTGCGAGTCTTATATTTTCCCTCTTGGCCACTGGCTGGGTACAGTGGCTCATGCTTGTAATCCTAGCACTTTGAGAGGCCAAAGTGGGAGGATTGCTGGAGCCCGGGAGTTTGAGACCAGCCTAGGTAATATAATAAGACCTTGTCTCTACAAAAAAAATAAAAAATAAAAAAATCAGCAGATATGGTGGCATGTACCTGTAGTGCCAGCTACTAAGGAGACTGAGGTGGAAAGAGCACTTGAACCCAAGAGTTCAAGGCTGCAGTGAGCCGTGATTGTGCCACTGCACTCCAACCTAGGCAACAGAGTAAGACCCCGACTCAAAAAAAAAGTTTTTCCTTTTTCTGCCTTTGTCATCCTAGCAGTGCTGTGATATAATGAAAAGAGCATTGGGTTTGAAGCCATATCTGGACCCTAACTCTAGGTTTTTCATTAAAATGACTTTTCAAAGCCGGGCTCAGTGACTCAGCCTGTAATCCCGCGCCTTTCGGAGGCTGGGGTGAGTGGATTGCCTGAGCCCGCAGGTTCGAGACTCGCCTGGGCAGCGAGACCTCATCTCTACAACAAATCAAAAAATCAGCCAGGCGTGGTAGTGCATGCCTGTAATTCCGGCTACTCGGAAGGCTGAGGCTGAAGGATCGCCGGAGCCCAGCAGGTCGAGGCTGCGGTGGCCGGGAGCGGCCACTGCACTCCAGTCTGGGCGACAGAGTGAGACTCCAACTCAAACAAAACAAAACAAAAAAAATGACTTTTCATAGTCACATTTCTGTCTGGGTACGGTGGCTCACATCTGTAATCCCAGCATTTGGGAGGTGGAGACAAGAGGATTGCCTGAGCCCACGGGTTCAAGACCAGTCTCAGCAACATGATGAGACCTAGTCTCAACAATAAATCAAAAAATCAGCTGGCATGGTAGCCCACGCCTGTGGTTCCAGCTACTTGGAAGGCTGAGGCAGAAGGATTGCCTGAGCCCGGCAGGTTGAGGATGTGCCACTGCACTCTAGCCTGGGGAACAGAGTGAAACCCCGACAAAAAAAAAAGTCACATTTCTGAGTTTCCTCTTCCTCCTCTGCAAAATGGTAGAGATACTAAATTCACAGTTGATGTCAAGTGTATAATGTATGTGAAAATACTTTGAGGCCGGGCACGGTGGCTCACCCTGTAATCCCAGCACTTTGGGAGGCCAAGGCGAGAGGATTGCTTGAGCCCCGGGGTTCAAGACCAGCCTGGGCAACTTGGTGAGACCTATTCCCTACAATAAATCACAAAAAGTTAGCTAAGCATGGTGGCTCCAGCTATTTGGAAGGCTGAGGCAGAAGGATCGCCTAAAACCAGCAGGTTGAGGCTGCGGTGGCCATGAGCATGCCACTGCACTCCAGATTGGGCGACAGAGTGAGACTCCTACTTAAAAAAAAAAAAAAATGCTTTGTAAGCTATAACTGCAAAGAAAAAAGAAAAGATGCAACTTGCTTCTTTTTTATTTCTTTACCTGGAACATAGCTATCAGAACAATCCTCAAATATGGTTTTTATTTTAGTATCTCCTTGGTTCAAGATCATGTCACTTAGAAGTTCCATACATTGAGTATATGTTGAAAAAATCAAAACTTTATCAGCTGATTGATTTTATTTATCACTTTATTCTAGTAGTTCTTGATGGGAATAATTACTGCCTCATATGTGGCATTTGGAAATCTGTGGAATCATTTTTGGTTGTCATAATGATTGGGAAGGTGGGCTACAGGGATTTATTTAGTAAAGGGTACTAAGGCACACCATTCCATCTACAGTACCATGGATAGTACCACACAATGTCCCACACCCTGCGTGACTTTTGAATATCCCAAGGGACATTCATGTAAGTAAAAACACCTGCTTGTAATTATCCAAGTCTAGAACCTAACTCCTTTTAAAATATAAACACAATGCATCTTTTTGCCCAGTTTAATTATACATTGAAATTTCCAGTAATACAAATACTATGTAAGTCAAAGAAAAAAGTCTTTTACAATTTCTCCAAGTGCCAGGCTCGGTGGCTCAGCCTGTAATCCCGTGCCTTTGGGAGGCCAAGGTGAGTGGATTGCCTGAGCCCGCGGGTTCGAGACCCGCCTGGGCAGCGAGACCTCATCTCTACAATAAATCAAAAAATCAGCCAGGCATGATAGCACATGCCTGTAACTCCAGCTACTTGGAAGGCTGAGGCAGAAGGATCGCCGGAGCCCAGCAGGTCGAGGCCGGGAGCAGCCACTGCACTCCAGTCTGGGCGAGAGAGTGAGACTCCAACTCAAACAAAAAAATTTCTCTGAATAATTTTCATCATTCATAGTATCAACAGCAGTGCCCTAGTGTTAATAGTATTTAGTAAGCCAGGCTCGGTGGCTCAGCCTGTAATCCCGCGCCTTTGGGAGACTGAGGTGAGTGGATTGCCTGAGCCCGCAGGTTCGAGACCCGCCTGGGCAGTGAGACCTCATCTCTACAACAAATCAAAAAAATCAGCCGGGCATGGTAGCGCATGCCTATAATTCCGGCTACTGGGAAGGCTGAGGCAGAAGGATCGCCGGAGCCCAGCAGGTGAGGCTGCGGTGGCCGGAAGCGGCTACTGCACTCCAGTCTGGGCGACTGAGTGAGACTCCAACTCAAAAAAAAAAAAAAAAAAATAGTATTTAGTGCCAGTATAATAAAGCTGAATGTGTATCAGCCTATATTTCATATGTATTTTGGCTTAGGATTTACACACTGAAATGCATGTTATTATAAATTGCTTTCCTTTTTTTTTTTTTTTGAGGTGGAGTCTCACTCCATCGCCCAGCCTGGAGTGCAGTGACACGCTCACGGCTACCACAACCTCAACCTACTGAACTCAGGTGATCCTTCCACCTCAGTCTTCCAAGTAGCCGGAACTACAGGTGTGGGTTAATTTTTGATTTATCGTAGAGACGAGGACTCGCCAAGTTGCCCAGGCTCAGGCAATCCTCTCACCTCGGCCTCCCAAAGTACTGGGATTACAAGCAGAGCCACTGAGCCCAGCCAACTGCTTTCCTTTTATTTACTTTCACATTTATATTAATTTTTTAAAAGTATAGGTAGTTGGCTGGGCACAGTGGCTCACGCCTATAATCCTCGTACTTTGGGAGGCCGAGTTGAAAGGATTGCCTGAGCCCACGGGTTTGAAACTAGCCTGCGCAACACAGTGGGATCTCATCTCTACAAAAAAAATCAAAAAATTATCCAGGCATAGTGGTGTGTGCCTGTGGTCCTAGCTACTAGGGAGGCTGGGGCAGAAGAATCATCTGAGCCCAGGAAGTGTAGGCTGCAGTGAGGCTGGGCAACAGAGTGAGAGCCTGGCTCAAAAAATATATATATTATAGCTGGATGTGGTGGCTTACACCTATAATCCCAGCACTTTGGGACGCCAAGGTGAGAGGATTGCTTGAGCTCACGGGTTTGAGACTAGCCTGGGCAACTTGGCAAGACCTCATCTCTACAATAAAAAAATAAAATAAAATAATTAGCCAGGCATGGTGGTGCATACCTGTAGTTCCAACTACTTGGAAGACTGATGAGGAAGGATCACCTGAGCTCAGCAGGTCGAGGCTGCGGTTGCTGGGTGCATGCTACTGTCCTCCAGCCTGGGTGACAGAGTGAGACTCCAACTTAAAAAAAAAAAGAACCAGTGGTTCACCCTTTCCAATTTTACCAATTAGTCTTTTATTCTGGCTCCAGACAAACTGAACTCTCTCTACATTCCTTATAACGAGCGTGATTTGGATTTTGCAAATCAAAACATCATGCAGAAGGAGTACTCAGTTGTTAGGTATTGGAAATGTTGCAATAAGAAACAGATATGATGCAGTAGCAGCAAATAAAAATTTAAGTCAGGAACACAGAAGAGCTGAGGCAAACTTTGCTAAGCCAAGTGATGAAGAAAAACATTACGAGCTAACATATGGCACCATGATGAGGGAAAAAAATACTACCAACTCCTCATAAATTCTCCCAGAATATTCAAGAGGAAGAAACACTTCCAAACTCATTATTTGAGGCCAACATAAATCAAAGCCGGAAAAAGGCACTACAAAAAAATGAAGAATACAGATCAACATCCCTGATAAATGTTGATGCAAAAAAACCTTAACAAAATCCTAGCAAACAGAATTCAACAGAACACTAAAAAGATTATACACCATGACCAAGTGGAATTTATTTCTGGAATGCAAGGATGGTTCAATAAATGTAAATCAATCAATGTAATACACCAAATTAACAGAATCATGGAAAAAAACACATATGATCATCTCAATTGATATAGAAAAAGCATTTGATAAAATTCAACACTCTTTCATGATGAAAATACACAAGAAACTAGAAACAGAAGGAAGTTTCTCCAACATAATAAAGGTCATGTATGAAAAGACTACAGGTAGTACATGCAAGGGTGAAAGACTGAAAGCTCCTCCCGTAATATCAGGAACAAGGCAAGGATGCCCATTTTTACCATCTCTATCTAACATTGTTCTGGAAGTTAT